CGGGGTGGCGCCCGGAGCCGGCTCCTCACGCCCGCTGCCCGGCCCAACGTGGCACTTTGGCAGAGCCCTCCCAGGCCGGGGAGACGATTCAAACCCGGGCGGCGCCTTGACCAATTGCGAATTGGCCCCCGGCAGAGCGGCAGCAACTCTAACCAATAGCGTCTCAAAGAAGGTCGCGGGCCCGGGTGTCATTAGCCAATAGAGGCTCAGGAAGAAACAAAGGAGGCGGGTGAAGGCGGAGAGGGTGCGGCCGGCAGCCCCGCCCCTTTGTCAGCGTCTCGGCTCCTCAGCGATCGCACTCCGGTTCCGGAGTGTGGAGTCTGCTGTGGCGACCAGGTCGGCTCCCTGGCTTGTCTTGCACCCAACTGCAAAAGACTCCCGGCTCCGGACAGTGGACGTCATTTTCCCACCTGAAGCTTTCGGAAAGCGGGCCAGCAGTCCTCGACTTTGCCCTCGGTGATGCGCCGAGGGAGATTCGGGGTTCGTCGCGAGGTTAAGGCCGGGAGAATGCTATTGAGCCAAATATGCTGCTGAATGTCTGAGCCCTGGCCTCCCGGGGAAAGGAAATTAACTCCTAAAACGGCGGTCGCTAGCCCCACTTGACGTTCGGAGGCTGGGACCGGCCCGTGGGAGCCGCCTCCCTTGGGCAAAGTTGCCAGCAGCTTTGCGTAGAATTTTGTTTAAAGGTTCGTAGAGCCCAAGATAAACACCTGGGAGCAGGCGTTGCACTTGAGGCCAGTAGGGCAGGGTCCGCTTGTTGACACAGACTGCTGTTTCTTGGCTTGAGCTTTTAGCACCGTCGGGTACCTTACCTCACACGTGAAAACTCTCAGACGGAGAAAGGTCAGCGTAACTGTTAGGATGTTAGGGCTGATGAATACGGAGGACCCGAGAATTGTAGCAAATGAGGAGAGAAAAGGTACATGCTCAGCTTTGGCAGTAGTGAGTCGTTAGAGATCTCCTGAAGTTAGTAATGCCTTCGTACAGATCCGGAGTCACCAGAACTAAAATGGAAAGCAGTGATAAGTTTGACTTATCCATCGCCCCCCCAAAAAAGTCTCGTGTGGCCTTAAAAATATGTACACAAATTACTATGGTTAAAAATAGGAAAAATTACCAGGAAGAAGTTACAGATCCTCAATTACTTTAGTTTCTCCATATAAATGAATAAGACCTTGGGTAATTTAGAGGAAGGAAAACGTCACCCTAATTTCTTTTTTCAGTTCTATGGATGAACCTAGTGCCTCGTGCGACAATCACTACCCCTAAGCTACATCTCCAGCCGTCTGGAGTTATAAAATGCACCTTGCTCAACTCAGTTTCACTTTAAGCACCTGCTCCTGGGATAGTGGTCTGGTGAAGGATGAAAAAGCCTCCCCAGTGTAAGGTTTGTTTTTGTTACTTGCACAGCATCTCACTGTGTAGCCCCAGCTGGCCTGGCACTTGCTATGTAGATTAGGCTGGCTGGGAACTCACAGAGACCCACCTGACTCAGTATCCTGAGTGCCAGGATAAAAGTGACATATCACCACACCCTTTCCCCACGGTGTGGTGGTTCTGGGAGGTTTTCCTCTTCGTTCCTTAAGGAAGTCTTCTTAATAGACTAGAAATACCAAGGACCTAGAGTTAGAAATCTAGGCGTCTAGCCACAGTCTGTACTAGTGAAGAAGGCTTTAGTGCACCACTTGGGGAGAGATGACTTTTTTGCTTAACGGAGTTGTGAGAATCAAAGAAACCGTTCCCAATAAAGCTGTATTATTTCTAACACTTATTGTGAAGGTATTGTTAAAAACAACAGTTATCTTCAAAATACTCTTTCTTTTCTCTTTGCCTCCTCCTTGCTTCTTTCCTTTTCTTTTTTCTCCCCTCATGGTATTGAGGGGCCACTCACATGCAAGGAAGGTACTGAGCCATAGTACTAGCCTACTAGTATCAAAATAAGTAGTAATAATAACAGATTGCAACCTGTTAATGATGAGTCCATTAAAGAAATGAGAAAGTTTTTCTTGTAGGGGAATGCCAACTAAAAGTATAAAAGTAATAACAGAGTAATATTAGCTGGGTATGGCAGCACCCTCAGCAATGGGAATGTACAGATAGGAGGGTTGTAAGTTTGATACCAGCCTGTACTACATAACAAGACCCAGTGTCAGAAAACAAAACAACAAACAAAACAGAGTAGGCAGGTAGCTCAGTGGGTAAAGGTGCCTGCTTCCTTGCCTGACAAGCTGAGTTTGATACCAAGAGCCCACACAGTGCAAGGCAAGAACTGACTCCTACAAGTTGTCTTCTGGCCTCCACACGAGTATTGTGACACACACATGTCCCTAACACACTAAGTAAATAGCATAATCTTAAGCAAGTAGTAATATTAACAGAAATGGTAGACTCACAAGTCCCTTCTCAATACAAGCACACTAAAAGGCAAGATCTCACTGGTCAGCTTTTCGTTGCTATGTTTTTAAACCAGAAAACTAGGTCTCCTGTAAAGCCTTTGCTTCCAGAAATGTCAGTATATCAGTCCAGACACAAAATGAGACAATCTAGAACCAATTATTATAATCAGACAGAACTCTGTAGAAAGAAAAAAAAAATCCAATTTAGGGCTTGCAGATCTGTGGAAGCTGAAGGCCTGGAGTAATGCATATGACCTCAGTCACTGATCTGAAGACTATGTAGTGGCTGTTTTCTCCAAGACAAATCCATACCATTTCCAAATTTGGGGGTGTATTAGAATGCTCTTTAACAATTTTTAGAAGAAATAAGGAACAGCCGGGCGGTGGTAGTGCACACCTTTAATCCCAGCACTCAGAAGGCAGAGGCAGGCGGATCTCTGTGAGTTCAAGGCCAGACTGGTCTGCAAGAGCTAATTCAGGACAGGTTCCAAAGCCACAGAGAGAAACCCTGTCACGGAAAAACCACAAAAAAAAAAAAAAAAGAAGGAACAAACCCTATGGACTTTATTTTGGGGTGGGTCTGTGGGTTCACTTTTAGGGGTGTTGTTCTCAGAGACCACCTTTGTGTGTGTTCTGCAAAATCCTGAACAAAAAGTGTATTGAGAAAAGCTCTTGGAGCTAAAAATTCTGTCTTACAAGGGTTTCCACAGGCAATCATAAATAGCATCTGCAGTTATAACTCTTGGCCTACAAGAGGGTTAGTGAATAACTATGCAAGTTGATGCTAAACAGAGGGTTTCGGAGTTTACTTAATAATTTGCCAGTGTACAGTGTGCTCGTTCAACCTTCTGACTGCACCCTGATGCTTTTATTCTCTTCTGTAGAAGCACTTTGTAGTAAAGGCAAGCTGGCTTCTGGAATCCTGGTCTTGGCTGTAAAGATGAAGCATCGTATAGTAAAATCACATTAAGGGAGTGTTAGACGGTAAGAGCAGCTTTTAAAAGGTGAGAAGTGATTTCCAGCTTGATACTGAAATAAAGCATGACTAGACATAATTGAAAGGGAAATATTGATATGAGTTGTGTGTGTGTGAATTAAAGATGATGTTTTTCCTCAATATTTATAAGTAAAGAGTTCAGAGTTTCTCTATACTGCTATTAAAACTTTGTATTCTTCACTTCAGACAGGTTGGATGTTCTTTAAAAAGTTCTTTTGAGGGACTGGAGAAATGGCTCAGCGGTTAAGAGCACTGACTGCTCTTCCAGAGGACCCGGGTTCAGTTCCCAGCACCCACATGGCAGCTCACAACTGTCTGAAAATCCAGTTCCAGGGGATCTGACACCTTGACACCAATGCACATAAAATAAAGATAAATAAATCATAAAAAAGTTCTTTTGAACTTGGGGAGCTTATGGTACTTTGCAAAAGTTGAGGTCTGTGAATGTCTCCCTTCTGGCTTAATGATAGAACAGTTCAGAAAGGCACAGAGTGCTTGTGCTAGAGAGCCTGAAATAAAAAAAAAAAATGCTTATATTTCCGTGAGCTAAATTTGTCTCTTGGCTTTGGGTTCTACCCTTTTTTTTGACTAAGTAACAAGGTGACCTCTAGCCTCCGTTTTCAGTGGAGCATACACCAAAAGTAAATCCCTAGGGTGAAGCCTTCACCAGTTCTTCCAGATTTTCTAGTTTGAGAATTACCTTTTAAAGCCAAAAATGTTGGCTGACCTCGTGATACTGTAGTACTTGGACTCCTTAAGCCTCGAGAACTGCATAATGGTGAAATGAAAAACATATTTGTGTATTTTATCATTAAGGAAGAACTTAGTGTATTTAAAAGATACAATTACATGGGGCTGGAGGGATGACTCATTGGCTAACTGCCACTCCGGTTGATCTGCCAGCTAAGTCCTCCACAGGCACCTACGCTCATAGGCACATACCAGCCCCACCCACCCCCATAATTAAAAACAAAAACACACAACCAGGAGTTGGTGGCACAAGTCTTTAATCCCAGCAGTTGGAAGGCAGAGGCAGGCAGATCTCCAGGTTCAAGGACAGCCTGGTCTACAGAGTGAGTTCCAGGATGGCCAGGGCTACACAGGGAAACCCAGTCTCGAAAATACAAAAACCAAACCAAACCAACCAACCAAACAAACAAAAACCCCAAATACACACTGATAAACAATGTTATTGCTGTTATTGCAGTACTGGAGATTATACCCAGGATCATCCTCATGTTATCCAGGCGCTCTTCCATTGAGCTGCAGGCTGAGCAAAGCATTCTTTATTAATCAACTGAGAGTGTTTCATATGGATTTAGTAGTGCTTTTTGTTAGTTTCTATCTGTGAGACAGGGCCTCAAGGTTTAGCCCAGGCTGGCTCTAAGCTCAAGGTCTTCCTTCCTCAGCACCAGAGTGCTAGGATCACAGGTATGCACTAGCATGCCCAGTTTAATAACCCTATTTGGTAACTCTGAAGCTCAATGGTGCATATAATCAAACTTCTTCTTGGGTCTAGGCCTACCAGAATGTAAAGATTGGAAAACAATCATTGAAGGGGCCGATTGACACAAATTTTTTACAGAACCTAGGCTGGTCTTATATTCACTTCTTTGAGCCTCCTACCTCAGCCCTCCACTGTACCACCACGCCCAACTTTTGTTTTATCAGTTTTGGTTTTCTCTGTGTTTGTGTGTGGGGGAACACCAATAATTTCATCATCTGTGATGCAAGTTCCCTTCCAAATTGGTCTTTTGTCTTCTAACAAATTGGGCACTATAGACCGAGTTGTCTACTGTTGTTCCTGATCCTCTACGGTTAAAATAGAAGCCCAAAGACTATTCAATCCAGTCACATTCTCATGTTATGTGGAAATCCATCTCTTCCCCAGGTCAGTAAGTCTAGAGAGAGCTGGTAAAATTGCCTAGTAAACCAAGGATAATGAAGCTCAGTGGGATGCAATAGGACATCCCTCTAACTCTAGCATGCAGGAAGATGAGGCAGGAAGATTTACAGTTCCAAGCCAGCCTGAGCTACATTATCTTAAATATATAATCAATAAATCAAGTTTTAAAAAGTTAATCTGGGCTGGAGATGTAGCTTAGTTGGTCCTACGCTTGCCTAGCATACATGAGACCCTGGACTTGATCCCCCGTGCCACACAATCTGGGCTTGGTGGTACAAACCTGTTACTCTAGCACCTGGAAGGCGGAGGCAGTTCTGGGCCAGCCTCTGCTATACCGCATGTCTCAGGTCAGCCTGTGAGCTAATGAGACCTTGTCAGGAAAACAAAACAAAAACAAGCTAAATTTCCCAATTTTCCAGTTATATAGATCAAAAGATAAGATGATAGGCTATATTTAAGAGGGGCATCTAAATTAGAACAAGAATAGGTTATTTCTTTCATTTTTTTTTCTTTTTGAGACAGGGTTTCTCTGTGTAACAGTCCTGGCTGTCCTTGAATTCACTTTGTACACCTGGCTAACCTTGAACTCAGAGAATCCGCCTGCCTCAGCCTCCCAAATGCTGGAATTAAAGGCGTGTACCACCACCACCCAGATTAGAATATGTTATTTCTGGTTCCTTTTAGGTATGGTTTTGGATCAAAGCCTTAGACAGATTTTTCTTTGGGCCGCCAGCTCACAAATAATGACACGGAAGCTTATTAATTATGAAAGCTCGGCCTTACTTAGGCTTGTCCCTAACTAGTTCTTCTAACTTCAATTAGCCCATATCTTTTAAACTACATTCTTTTACAAGGCTTGATTACCTTTACTCTGTGCTGCCCATCCTGCTTCCTCCGTGTCTGACTGGTGACTCTGCCTTTCTTTCTCTCCTCAGTTTCTGTCTGGGGGTCAGGCCTATCTCTCCTGCCTAGCTATTGGCTGTTCAGCTTTTCGTTACACCAGTCACAGCCATACATCTGCACAACGTACAAATATCCCACAACACAAAGCTACATAGTCCATCAAGAGAACGTCACACAATGATTGCACTACAAGTGTGTGCTGGGGAATGAGCAGCTTATCACAGATAAGGGCCTGCTATCCCTCCTCTGATTCCAGCAAAAGGCTGTCATCTCCCGATTCATTTTCTGTTCCTCCTTTTCAACTAGGGAGGTTGATGCAGAAATATATCTCTTTGACCACCAGCTAAGCATGTCTAAATCCTTGCCTAAATCAAACTTTGTAATCTCGAAGACACATGAAAGTGTAAGTAGAGACTGGGGAGATGGCTCGGTTGTTAAAGTGCCAACTGTGCAAGCATGAGGAGCTGAGGTCGAGCCTTAGCGTCCACGTGAAAACAAGAGTCAGGTGTGGCGGCGCATGCATGCCTGTGATCCTAGCTCTGGGGATGCAGAGACAGGAGGACCCGATCCCTGGGTCTTTTCTAGTCACTAGCCTTGCTTGAGTAGGTGAGATCCTGGTTCAGTGAAAGACTCTGGCTAAGAAAAATAAAGTGAAAAGCAATAGCAGAAGATACTTGATGTTGACATATGGTCTCTGCACACACACACACACACACAAATATAACTAGAGTTGTAATTTATGCAAATTGGGGCTCATGCAACATCTCAAAATGTTGAGTAAAAATAAAATCAAGAAATCTGGTGATATTTACAGAAGTATTTTTGAATTTTAACTAAAATTACCAACGTTAATGGAATTTTATTGCCTATCAACTACTGTATGTAAATAATGAATTCTAAATTCTAACCTCTTTTTTATTTTTTAAACAGGGAGGAAAACTCTGCATGGAAAATGACACTTTGGAATAGCAATTCCACAGCCTGGGCATACTCTCTGATTACACTAGGAACTGAAATGTTAAGTTCTTTTTTCCGTTTCTACTGTGTGAAACTTTTCTTGGAACTGTACAAGATTTCAGAGTTTGCCTTCTATCAGTCCCAGGTGGGATGCAATTTTTATTCCTTAAATGTAGGAAAGAATTTCCTTCCTTATAGAGGTATCCTACTGTTTTTTTTTTTAACCTAAGAGTGGATTCTGCACATACCTGCAAGAGTTATCAAGAAAAATGTGTGTGCTAGGGTATGCAAACCTGTAATCTCAGTACTTAAGAAACTGAGGCAGTAAGATTGTTGAGAATTCAAGACTGGGTCAGGCTGTATAGAGGGATCCTATCTCAAAAAGAAAGAGAGGGAGGGAAAAGAGAAAGAAAGCAAGGGAAATGGGTTGGAAGAGGAGAGAGGGAAGGAGGAGATACTGTCTTAGTCGTGGTTTCTATTGCTGTGATAAAACACCATGACCAAAAGCAAGTTGGGGAAGAAAGGGTTTGTCTTACACTTCCACATCATAGTACATCGCTGAAGGAAGTCAGAGCAGGAACTCGAACAGGTAGGAGCCTGGAACAGGAGCTGATACAGAGGCTATAGAGGAGTGCCACTAACTGGCTTGCTCCCATGGTTTCCTCAGTCTGCCTTCTTATAGGACCACTTGCTCAGGGGTATCCCTACCAACAGGGACATGGCCCTTCCACATCAATTCTAATTTAAAAATGCCCCAGAGTCTTGCCTGCAGCCCAGTCTTATGAGGGCATTTTCCCAATTGAGGTTTCCTCCTCTCAGATGACCCCAACTTGTACCAAGTTAACATAAAATTACCTAACACAGCAAAACTACCTAGTATAGCAAGCTTTACCTTGAAAAGCTAGATGATATCGGCAAATTGTATTATAACTTATCATACATGAACTGAATGAATAGATATAACATTTTTACATTTTCCCTTGTGCTTTATAATGCTGCTTATTACAGAACTACATATTTAATATGCTGATTTTGAATTGATTTATTATTATTGTTATCTTAACTTTTTAAATGTAGATATGCAAAATGATGTCTTGGAAGAGTAGAGAAAAGGCTCATTGACTTTTAGAACACTTTTTGCTCCTCTAGAAAACCTGGGTTCAGTTCCCAGCATTCACATGGTGGCTCACATCTATCTGTGACTCCAATTCCAAGGGATCTGATGCCCTCTTCTGGCCTCCATGGGTACTAGACAAGCACATGGTACACATACATACATGTAGACAAAACAGTCATAGACATAAAATAAAATAAATAGATAAAAAATTGTAACAAGAAGAAGGGCCTGGATTTCATGAGGAAATATGGCCCTGTGTGCCACAGTGAAAGACAGTCTCCGTGTTCACTGCTTTGGTTCCAATGTTGCTCTATTCAGTTAGCTAGATGAAATGCTTATCTTCTCTGTCCAAAGCATCTCATTTTGTAATTAGATGGGAGGAATAACAATGCCTATCTTAAAAGGTTATGATTTTTTTAAAGGGATTTGATAAAATAATACATGTCACCACGTGTACTATACCCGAATGCGTGGGCTTTTGAGTGGCATACTGCCACTATCCTTGATGCCAACGACCGTTTCCAAAACGGAGACTTTTCAGCTTTAGACACTTCTCATTAGTAAAAACAATCAAAAGAATCAGGATTTATTCCTTCTTGTTTCCTGCCCCCCCCTCTTCTTCCCTCGCTTCCTTCTGCTCTCTGGGTCACTGTGCACTGCAGGCAGGTTTGACTCAATGATCCTCCTTCTTCAGCCTCCCATGTGCTGAAATTACAGGCCCCTGCCACCAGCCTCAGGAGTCCTTCTCCTCTTGAATGTAGTAGTCTTCACTACTAACAACTGTACAAAATAATCCTATGTGTGTTTTTTTTCTCCTTAGGTAATTTTAATGATTTGTAATATTCTGAATGACCTAAGTGGGTACTTTCGGATGAACTCTCAGTATGATTGCTGTCTAAGTTACCACTGTTCCCTGTTTGGAGCCTTTTTGCATGTAGTGGCCTTCCTTCTCCCTTGGTTCCCTTGGAAGCACTATCAAGATGGTGACTGGCTTAATGGACTTCATTTGGTGGTCTCCCTGTGCGCCTTTGACAGCACCCTCGCCTGGGTGCAGCAAGCCCAGTACCGCTTGTTTGCAGAGACTTTCCCCAGGCATGAAAGCAGGCTGCAGCTGATGAAAATTAACCAGGTAGCATCCCTGCTGGGCTCCACCAGCGTCCTCTTCTGCGGCCTCATCTCTCACAACATGGAAATCCTGCCCAGTTTTCAGGTCGTCGCTGTCATCACTGCCTTCCTGGCAGTTACCAGCCTTTACAGTGGCTTGCTCCATATGAGACCTCTTGAACATAAAAGAAACCCAGAGGAAACCTCCCTCGCAGAGAGTGAGCAGGAACTGCTGTGGACCTCCACCATCTCACCGATGAGACAAATCTTGTCTCAGAGGAACTTCCACCTTTTCCTCATCATGAATTTCTTTCAAGTCTTTCACTTGACCTTCTTCAGTAACTTCATAATGATCTTTGCAGATAACCTCATTCCCTTGGAGATTTTCTCTTCTTCTGCAAGGAGCATCATGTACGGGGCTGGCTTCATCTGCCCTCAGGTACGTGAAGATTCTCCACGTGTCTACCTAGTGGGACTAAAGATTAACAATCAGTTGTCTGAGGAGAGGAAAAATGTGACTAAATAAGTAGTGTTTCCAACTGACACATACTTACTAACAAACTCTAAATAAGATGCTGTACAGGATCCCATAGAAAGATGGGAAAGCAAATAAAAAGCAAGCAAGGGCCAAGCATAGTGAGGGCCAAGCAGCATGATTAAAATAAAACACCACTACTTTTAAAATTATGTTTATCTGTCTATTGTGTGGATATATGTGTTTGTTTTGAGACAGGGTCTCAGTGTATAGTCCTAGCTGGCCTGGAACTTTCTAACTGGACCAAACTAGCTTTGAACTTAGAGAGCCACCAAGCCTAGACGATTGTGTGCCTGTGTATATTTGTGTGTTAGGGTGGTCTGTGGAGGTCAGAATACAGCTTGGAGAAGTGGTTTCTCTCTTTACAGCTTGTGAGTGCCAGGGATTGAACTCAGGTGGTTCAGCTTTGTGTCAAATCATCTCTATGGCCCGGTATTTCAAACATTTGACTTTGAATCTAAGCATCAGCAAAGCTTTGGAAGAAGTGAATGGCTCCCAGTGAGTGTGTGCTTTTGCTTTGTTCAAGCATTTAAAATTTTGTCTTCATGGAAGAAATCTTAGAAGGGGCAGGAAAGTGATATGGAAAATCAAGACATGGGAAATTCTGCTGGCTGAGAATCAATGATCCTATAAGCAAGATTATGAATCACACCTGGAGTCAAGAGTTTAGGCCTAGATTTCCTTATGACCCATGTAGCTTGAGGATTCCTTTAACCTTTGACCTGTGTTTTTTTCTACCATCCTCTCAATAACTACCCTATAATCTCATCTAGTAAACACACTAAGACAGTTTGTACTTCTTTTTCTTTCTTTCTTTCTTTCTTTCTTTCTTTCTTTCTTTCTTACTTTTTTTTTTTAAAAAAAAGACATTATCACTCTGTAGCCTGGGCTGGCCTAAATAAAACTCATGACAGTCCTACTTTAGCCTTGGTAAAGTCCTAGGATTACAGGTATGAGCTGACACACCCAGCATGCTTAACCTTTAACCCCTTTATCATATAACTACAGAAACCATCAAAACCATCTATAGATAGCTATTATTAGGACTCTTCTCTGTAGCTGGGCATGATGGCTTATGCCTGGAATCCTAGTACTTAGGGAGGCTAAAGTAGGGGGACTGTTACATGTTTGAGGCTAGCCTTGGCTACAAAGAAAGACCAAAACCCAAAACAAAATAAAGCAAAACAAAGTACACAGCAACAACAGGAAAGGCACTTAAGTGTGACTCTTTTGAGAGGCCCACAGCTGTGCTATCCTTTTCTTTATACCTTCCCCATCTCTTCTTAGTAAACGCTGACTCTGATTAAAACAAACAAAACAGAAAAACCCCGACAAGAGTCAATTTGACCAAGAATTCATGGAGCAGGGTTTCAGAATACTTTTCTAAAAGTCTGAGTTCTGGAACCTCAGAGTGGTATTAAAATTCCATGATCATGACCCTTATGTATGATGGCGTGTTCCTTGCTAACTATTTGCAGTGCTGACATATTGCTACCTTAAGCTAATAGTGTCTTCTAAATCTATGACTTAACCTAGCCTATGATACAGATGTCTTCTAATTTTGCAATTAAATAATAGGTAAAACCTGGTACTTAGACTCTTCCAGGATTAAGGAATAAGCTAGGGCTGGAGAGATGGCTCAGTTGTTAAGAGCATTAACAACTTTTAATAACAAGAGCATTGCCTGCTCTTCCAAAGGTCCTGAGTTCAATTCCTGGCGACCACATGGTGGCTCACCACCATCTGTAATGAGGTCTGGTGCCCTCAGAATACTGTATACATAATAAATAAATAAATAAATAAATAAAAGGAATAAGCTATTCTGCATAGCTTATTCTGCATATTTTTCTTAGTACCATGACAGAATGTCTGACATAAACAATGTCAATTTTCTTTTATAGTTTCAGAGGGTTCAGGCTGTATTTGCCTGACCACATGTACTTGGGCCAAGTAAATCACTGCCCGGTAGTGGAAGCAGGGGGTGGAGGCTGATTTTTACCTCCCTGGATGGGATGCAGATGGAGGGGATGGCTGTGCTCTGTTGGCTTTCCTCTTTCCCTGTTTTGTTCTAGTTAGGTGTTCAGCCCATGGTCTCATTGCTGACCACAGTTAGGATGAGTCTTCTCTCAGGCCCCAAGGTACACCCAGAGGTGTGTGACATCAATATCCAGGCTGGCTTTGAACTCACTACAATTCTCCTGACTCCCAAGAACTGGGATTATAGGTACGGACTACTGGCCCAGCCAGTTTTTTTTTTTCCATTTGTCAACAGTGCAGCAGATATATTTCAAGAAAAGAGATTTTAGGACTGAGGATACCTGAGGATACAGCTCTGTGATAGTGTGCTTGCCTAGCATATGGAAGGCTGTGGGCCCATCCCCAGCCCTGAATAGAGAAGAAGGAAAGGTTTATTTTGCTCAAGATTCAAGGTTGAAGAGGAGCTCTATTTTGTAATGCTCTTGCTAGTAGAATCTTACAGTCATGCAGATCATTGCAAGGCAAGAGACAGCAGGCCTGGGTATATGCATATAAGTTCTGCTCTGTGCGCTGTTCTTTTTCTTTTTTCTTTCTTTCTTTCTTTCTTTCTTTCTTTCTTTCTTTCTTTCTTTCTCTCTTTCTTTCTTTTTCTTTCTTTTTTTTTTGAGATAAGGTTTCTCTGTAGCTTTGGAACCTGTCCTGGAACTAGCTCTTGTAGACCAGGCTGGCCTCGAACTCACAGAGATCTGCCTATTTCTGCCTCCCAAATGCTGGTATTGAAGGCGTGTGCCACCACCACTCGGCTATGAATATCTCTTTTCACTTCTTTTGGTAAATATCTAGAGATAGAAAGGCTACCCTGGCCGGGTGGTTGATAGTGCACACCTTTAATCCCATCACTCGGGAAGCAGAGTTGGAGTCTTGCTATATTGCCCAGACTGACTTCAAGCTCAGGATCATCTTGCTCTGCGTCCCAAGTGCAGGATTAACACATGTACCCCACATCCAGCTCTTCTATTTTTATTACTTACTGAGTTATATTGGCAATTTTTAAAAATTTTAGGTATAATCTGTTATCAGATAGATTGTTTATATTTTCCAAATTTCTTGATGGCATGGAAAGGGTGAATCAAAATTGTTTCAGTTACTCTGGTCCCTTGAACATCTATATGCATTGTAGGGTTGGTCTGCCCATTTCTATACAGACATTAGCTGGGATGAAACACAGTCCTCCTGTCTCAGTCTCTGCAGTATTATTTGTAATTTTGTATAGATAATATGATGTCTTTTGGCTTCTTCAGGAATTCTGTTACTTTGCCCTCCTCCCTCTTCTGTATTCATCGCCTTTCCCTTCCCTAATTGAAGCCCCTCCTTTCCCCATTTTCCCCCGTAAGTTCCCCCTTTGTACCCTGTTACTCCTTTTCTGTTGCTCATACCCCACTTCATGGCCCCTTCTGCTTTCTTGGTTTCTTTAGTTACTCCAGGTTACATATGCACATCTGAAGATTTGGAGCTAGGAACCTCAGATGAGACAGAACATGTCATGTTTGTCTTTCTGGGACTGGGTTACCTCACTCAATATGACTTCTAGTTCCATCCATTTATCTGCAAATTTCATAATTTTCTTTTTTCTTTATTGCTGAATAATATTCCATAGTATATATGTTCCTCCTTAGTTGGAGGACATTGAGGTTGTTTCCATTTCTTAGCTATTGTGAATACAGTGGACATGGCTGAGCAAACTGTGGGATAGGAAGTCCAATCTTTTGGGTATATGCTGAATAGATGGATTTTTTTTAAACTTTATTTAACTTTATTTCATGTGCATTGGTATAACGATGTCAGAGTCTCTGGAACTGAAGTTACAGACAGCTGCAAGCTGCCATGTGGGTGCTGGGAATTGAACCCGGGTCCTCTGGAAGAGCAGTCAGTGCTCCTAACCACTGAGCCATTTTGCCAGCCCAGATGATTTTTTTTAAAGAATTATTTTTGCATCTATGAATTTTTGCCTGCATGTATATATGTATATCACATGCATGTCTAATGCTTGTGGAGGCTAGAAGACGGTATCAGATCACTTGTAACTGGAGTTACAGATAATTATGAACCAACACGTGTTAGGACCCAAACTCGGGTCCTCTGCAAGAGCAGCAAGTGCTCTTGCCCTCTGAGACAGCTCTCCAGTCCCCCAGCTAGATTTTTAAAGATTTAACACTGTTTTGTAGTCTCCTCTTCCATTTAAATATATTTATTTGTGTGTGTGTGTGTGTATGTGTGTGTGTGTGTGCGTTTAATGACACTGTTTCCAGCCCAGGTTTTTCAACTCCTAAGTTTTAGTTAAATTTCTTTCTAAGTGTTTACATAGATGTTTATTTAGTGAGGACCTAAAGGGCTTCAATGAGTAAAGTACATAGCTTTGCTAAACACAATGAAGTGATTTTATTTTGGTAATTCCCATTATACTTTAGCTTCCCCTTAGTTTTTATCTATATCCTGGATAGAGAGCACTAGGCAGTTGAAATCTGACGGGGACAGAGATTGCCGAGCTTCAGGGCAAGGCGTAACCTTTTCCCTACATACACTTTAAAAAACTCTTTAGGTGGGGTGGTGACACACACCTTTAATCCAGGCTCTTGGGAAGCAGAGGCAGATGAATCTCTGTGAATTTAAGGCCAACGTGGTTTACATAGTGAGTTCCAGGACAGCCAGGACTACACAGAGAAACCCTATCTTGAAAACAAAAACAAAGCCAACCAACAAACAAAGAAACCTCTTTAAATTAAAAATTATTTATTTATAGTGTACATTTGTATGCACTACAGCATATTGTGGAGATCTGCTGTCTGAAAATTATTGTTTTACTTTTGCTTACTATTTTCATAATAAATACTCTCATTTGAATCCTGCTCCTCCATAGGAAAATTAACTACCTAAACTGTGGTGGCAATTTCCTGGTGCATACACATATCAAAATGTATAGTTTAGATATTTGGTGTGGACTTAAGCTTTTCTTTCTTTTTTTTAAATACCTGTGGGTAGAATAGTTGGCCCTGAGTGCTAGGATTTTAAGCATGTACCATTATGACCAGTTCTTAACCTTTTTACTGTCTCTTGTGACTGCTACGCTCCTGGAACATAGGGTTGGACCAGATGTGCATGGGTCTGCAAACCTTTGCTTTCTCCTCCTCTTCCCCCCCACCTCTCCATTTTAAGCATATGCTTATTTTACAAAGATACTGCCAAAAGGTTTTCCACAGTGGTTGTACCATCTTACATTTCGTGTGTGTGTGTGTGTGTGTGTCTAAGTGTGCATGGAGTCTAGAGTCTGACTTCAGGTATTTCCCTCTGTTGCTCCTCCCTTTATATTTTGAGGTGAGGAGGTTTCTTACCCAACTAGAGTTTGCCATTTTAGCCAGACTGAGTGGCCAGCGAGCCTCCAAGATCTGTCTCTTTTTACCTATGCCCAGTGCTGGGGTTTCTGATACTCACTTCCATGTTGGGTTTTTATGTGGGTGCAGGGGATCTAAATTCAGGTCCTCGTGCTTGTGTAACCAGGCACTTTACTCATTCTTCCACCTTTTATATTATGTCAGTAGTGTGCAAATGTCCTGGTCGCTTGGTATTCTCACTGACACTTCATATAATGAAATATTTTTCACTTTAACTATGCTAGAAGACATGCTATGGCATATTATATTTTTTAATTTTCTGTGTGATTGATAATGATGTTGAGCGTCTTCTCAAGTGCTTACTTTTCAAATTTTTGTTTGTTTTTTATTTTATTTTATTTTTTTTTGAGTCTCACACGATAGTCCTGATCAGTCCTGAACTTTCTATGTAGTCCAGACTACCCTTAGGCTTGTGGCAATCCTCCTGCCTCAGCTTATAGAGTTTTGAAATTACAAGTGTGAGCTACCATACCTTGGCAACTACTTTGTCAAAATTTTAATTGGTGTATTATTTAATTTTCATATTATTGAGTTGCAGAATTCTTTGTATGTTCTTGATATATGTTCTTTGTCAAATATATGTTCAATAAATGACTCTTTCTGTCTCTCATAGTACTGTGGATTGAACCTGGGCCTTGCATTGTCAAGTGCTCTACCACTACGCTATATATTCAGCTAGTAGATAGTTTTCTTAGTCTTATCCTAGCTGTTAGATGTTAAAAGAAATATGTCCAAAAGATTTCAATGGCCCTCTTCCTTAAGCCCTCACAAGAACATTGAAATACAAAGCTGCTTTAATGTATTCTTCATTTCTAGGTAAATGATACTTGCATAAAATACAATATTAAAAATGACAGCTCATGAGAATTGTCATTGTTCAGCTAAATGACTTTAACCCCTTTAAATCATTGGGCACAGTCATGAGGTGACATTGTGTTTGCCTTTCTGAGCTGACTGCTCAGTGACATTCATTTCAAAAGGTTGAATAAATGAAGGAGAAAAGAAGGAACAATCCAGGTTTTGTGGCTTATGTAATTACTCATGAGGCTGAGGCAGGAGGATTGCATGAATTCCAGGCCAGCCTGGGTTATAGATTGAGAATTAATCTAAAAAAAAAAAAAACAACAACAAACAAAAAAAAAATGCGACTAGTCTTCCTACTATCCAAGTCCTGACCAGGCCCAACCCAGCTTAACTTCTGAAATCAGGTGTGTGCATGGTGGTGTAGCTAAGGATGCCAAGTGATCTTTCTCTCCAGTAGCTGTTCCTTCTCTCCTAAGAGAAGCAGATTAGTTTGGAATCCTTCCAAGGGAGCATGTTTGGCTCCCCTATTTGTTAACTGTGTGATCCTCAGCAAGTTACTCAGTTTCTCTGTATCTCCTTATCATTTACAAAATGAAAATAAAATTGGAACCTGTCTAATGCAGTCACTATGCGGACTGACTAAAGGAAGACACACCAATGACTCTTAGCATAAAGGTAACCCTCGGGGGATGCTGGCTCTTACTAGCACACAAGAACAGCTCAGACAAGAGACCAAGACCACAACACTGCCTTCCCTGCTCTGGTTTGCTTTAGGCTTCTGTGGGTGACTTTGCCAACACGTAGGTGGGACAGGCTGTGTGAAGTTTCCTACTAAGGTGTACATGTGAAACAGAAGCCAAATTCTGTCTTGTAAAATACTTTAATTTTAGACATAGTCTTTCTCTTCTCTGTTACTATGAGCTTTTGTAATAATATCATTGGCCCATGTCTCTCTACATATTGGACACAAGAATAATAGCTAGAAATTACTGAATGTCTTATACATTGACTATAAACCTAAATGAGGGAAAGGGGAATGATAGGGCTATTGCTCTGTGGTAGACTGCAATAAAACAGAGTAAAAAGTTGAGAGGGGAGAGGAACTAGACATTAGAAAATGTCTCTTGGGTGAAGTAACTTGTCTTTGAACACACAGGAAATTAAAAGTGGCAAAGCTGGGATTCAGATGTAAGGCTCTGATTTTCAAACACTACATTTGCACTCTGTCATATTTCTTGCACTACTGATTTCTTGCATATTTCTGTATTAGAGACGGATACAAAGCAGCTTCATTTCAGTAATTGGACAAGAGTGATTTTATAATTGCACAAAGGAGCATCCTGGAGCCTGCTGGGTGCTTTACGTACATCCCCTCTGAGAAATGCCTTGGACCTTGTCATCCACGGGGCCACTGTCTTCAATCTCTAGAAAATGAGCTCTTGTTCCTTGAAAGTAGAGGAGTAAGCCAAAGAGTGGGCTGGAGGGGAAACCTTCTGTTTATTAAAGGACATTTGTATTCGACTTACATTGTTCGAAATCCTCTTCTACTGCAATGTACGTACGTTTGGTTAGTGGAAACTTCTCTGGGCTAAACAATGCCCTTTTCATGTTGAAAACAAAGAGTGTCTTCTGATCTTTGTGAATGCACAAGCGTGTACATGTAGCAGACTTTTCAGTCTAGAACAATGAACAGCTTCAGAACGGGGAGAGGAAAAACCCCTAAGTTCCTAGTGCGAACCTGTTGGAATGATTCAAATACATAACACTTAACCAGAAGACATGGGAGGATTCCTGGATATTGTGTCCTAGACTTCCGATTTCAGGATAAGGGGCATTTCAGAGTCACCTCACGGTGTGGACGAGGAGATGCTTAGTAAGGACCTATCTTGAGTCAGTGCTGGGCTTTAACTAACTTCAACTGCGTGTAAACTTTGTATTTGCTTTAGTTGTGGTTGGGCCTTTCACTTTCTGAGAAGCTGGTATGTTTTATGGAAACAGTTGCAGTTTTTGTACTATTATTCATACAGCATTAATGTCTGTGGTTGTTCTTTTCTCTTCTTTTCCCCTTCCTGGCAATGCTGAGGGTGGAACTTAGAGATTCATGTGTGCTTCTGGGTACCCAGATACATCCCTAGCCCTTCAATTTTTTTTTGTGTATATGGATTAACCACTGATTGTAGTGACTCATCTATAATCCCAGCATTTGGGAGGCTGAGGCAAGAGGATTACTGAGAGTTCAAGGCGAGCCTGGGCCACACAGTAAACTCCAGGCCAGAGGGGGCCACATAGAGAGGCTCCATCTCAAAATCAAACCAAACCCACAAACACCTCCCCAGTCAAGACAGTCTATGCTGTGATATAACAGATGTTGTAATTCAGAACAATTTACTTTCATAAGGAGACACTGGTTTTGTCATCACAGGTAAGCAGAATTACTGGGTAGGGTGGGTTCCTTCTTAATATGGTGTCGATCTCTTTCCCTTGCAGTGCCTGGTACTTCTAGGTCAGTCCTGGCTGAAGAAATATGGTTACTATAAGATTATCTTAATTTCTTTCTACCTAGAAGGAGCAGCTGCCATTGTCATGGTACTTTTGGGACAGGAATACTATTACTGTTTGATTGTTTACCTCACTGTTATCATGTAAGTAAATGCCAGCACCATTTCAACATTATGCCACGCTTTTCCAGAACCTTCTAAACATTGAGATATCTTTAATCTGAGTAGCTGGAGTTGTAAACATGAGCCACCACGCCAGGCTTAACATATTTAATCTGAGTGAAGTTTAATTCCCATTTGTAGGCTGGGGCACTCTACCTGCCAGGGAAATTGTTTGAATATTAAGAACTTATGTTTTGAAAGCCTTTTATATAGTAGATTTGTAGCAAATATAAACTGTGTTTAATAGCTAGGGGCTCACCTCTGTAATCTGACGTGCTGGAGACTGAGGCAGGAGAATTGCCATAAACTCTAGATGAGCCTGGACTACAAGTAAGACGCTGTCTCAAAAAGAAAATAAAACCAAAAGAAAAAAAAATAAAATAAAACCAATTAACCAATAAACAAAACACAACAACTAAACAAACAAGCAAGCAAACACTTCCCACCCCCGAAAACAAAAAGCCCCAACAAGGGACTATGAGATGACTCTGTTGGTAAACTGTTCTTCTCAGAGGTGTGAGTCATCCAGACTCAATAGCATGTTTCTGTCACCCCAGAACTTGGGAGCGGGCCATGGACCATGGAGTAGGGACAAGATCTCTGGAGCACATTGGCCAGTCAACCTAGCTGAATCAGTGAACCCTAGGTTCAGCAAGAGAGGCTCAGCAGTAAGAGAGTTTACTGCTCTCGCAGAGGACCTAGGTTCAGTTTTTTAGTTCCTGTCACCCACATGGTGACTCACAACAGTCCGTAACTCCAGTTCCAGGGGATTTGATGTCCTTTTCTGACTTCTGTGGGCTTCTATATACACACATGGCACACATACAAGTACTCAGACATACACACATACACACTAACTAACCAAATAAATAATTTTTTAAAGAAAGATGGAGAGCCAGGTGGTAGTGGCACACACTTGAATCCCAGCTCTCAGTAGGCAGAGGCAGGAGAGTCTCTGTGAGTTCAAGGCCACTCTGGTCCACACAGCAAGTTCCAGGACAGGCCCCAAAGCTATACAGAGAAATCCTGTCTTGAAAAAAAAAAACAAAGAAAAAAAAGATGGAGAGTGATCAGGCAGTCGCATATGCGTTTAATTCCAGCATTCAGGGAGGCAGAGGGAGGCGGATCTTTGTGAGTATGAGGCCAGCCTGGTCTACAGAGAGAGTTCCAGGATAGTCAGAGAAACACAGAGAAACAAACAAACCAAACATGGAGAGTGTTTGAAGAAGACACTTTTGTGCATACAACATGCTTATTCACAATACCTACATGAACACATATTACACACGTATAATACATAAATTAATGTAAAAAAAGACAATGACAAAAATCCAGGCATCCAAGAACAAAACAAAACAAAACAAGCCAGGCAGTGGTGGCACATGGCTTTAATCCCAGCACTTGGGAGGCAGAGGCAGGCGGATCTCTGTGAGTTCGAGGCCAGCCTGGTCTACAAGAGCTAGTTCCGGGACAGGCCCCAAAGCTACTGAGAAACCCTGTCTCGAAAAACCAAAAAAAAAAAAAAATTAGACTGGGCTGTGGTGGCTCATGCTTTTAATCCCAGCACTCAGGAGGCAGAGACAGGTGGATCTCTGTAAGTTCGAGGACAGCCTGGTCTACAGAGTGAGTTCCAGGACAGGCTCTACTGAGAAACTGTTTCAAAAAACCAATACATACATACATACATACATACATACATAGTTAATTTTCTGAACAACTTAAATAGCTTCTTATTGCTCTTAGGCTTATCCAATCTCTTGAAGTGCTTTGCCTGTGCCTTCTTCTATTTTAGTTTTTGTTTGTTTGAAACAGGGTCTTACATAGCCCAGACTGGCCTTGAACTCACTGTGTAACTGAAGTTGATTTGCACAGTCGATTCCACTGCTTCAACCTCCTATGTGCTGGGACTGCATGATTTGCCCAGCTTTGATTAATGTTTTAAAATTATTTTATGCATCTGAATGTTTCACTTGTATGTGTGTATATACCTGGTGCTCACAGAGGCCAGAAGAGGGTGTAACCCTGGAACTGATAGTTCTGAGCCACTGTATGGGTGCTGGGAATCAAACCTGGGTCTTCTTAAAGGGCAGTCAATTGTCTTAACTGCTGAGTCATCTCCCCAGACCCTGTTTTGTTTTGTTTTAATAGTAGGATCTGTGTTTTGTTAATGTAGAATGCTCTTATGTATACAGTATTTTAACTTTTTTCTAGGGTGATTGTACAAGCCTCTTTTTGCTTATTTAACTTGCCACTGGCTGACGTGGTTGATGCAGATTTACAGAAGTTTAACAGGCAGTAAGTATATTTATATTTCTTCTTTCTTTCTTTCTTTCTTTCTTTCTTTCTTTCTTTCTTTCTTTCTTT